TCTCCAGTGATTACTCTGCTATCAGATCCCTGTGTCCCTGATCTCCACTGATTACTCTGCTATCAAATCCCGTATCCCTGATCTCCAGTGATTACTCCGGTATTAGATCCCCATTTCCCTGATCTCCAGTGATTACTCTGCTATCAGATCCCTGTGTCCCTGATCTCCAGTGATTACTCTGGTATTAGATCCCCGTATCCCTGATCTCCAGTGATTACTCTGCTATCAGATCCCCGTGTCCCTGATCTTCGATGACTTTTTTTTTCTATTCATTTGTGAGACGTGGGTGTCACTGGCTGGGCCAGCATTTCTTGCCCATCCCTAGTTGCCCTTGAGAAGGTGGGGGTGAGCTGCCTTCTTGAACCGCTGCATTCCTCCTGCTGTGGGTTGACCCACAATGCTTTTAGGGAGGGAATTCCAGGAATTTGACCCAGTGACAGTGAAGGAACAGCCAACATATTTGCTGCCCTTGTCCTTCTAGATAGAAGTGGCCGTGGGTTTGGAAGGTGCTGTCTGAGGATCTTTGGTGAATTTCTGCAGTGCATCTTGTAAATAGTACACACTGCTGCTACTGAGTGTCGCTGGTGGAGGGAGTAGATGCTTGTGGAATGGATTATTCCTATATCAGATTCCCTCTGTCCTTCATCTCCCAGTTTCTCCCCATTTCAGACCCCTGTATCCCTAATCTCCCAGTTTCCCTTCTATTTCAGATCCCCATCTCCTTGATCTCCCAATTTCTCCCCAAAATCAGATCACTGTATCCCTGATCTCCCAGTTTCGCCCCTATATCAGATCCCTGTGTCCCTGATCTCCCAATTTCTCCCCTATATCAGATCACTTTATCCTTGATCTCCCAGTTTCTCCCCATGTCAGATCCCTATGTCCCTGATCTCCCAATTTCTCCCCTATATCAGATCACTGTATCCCTGATCTCCCAGTTTCTTCCCTATGTCAGAACCCCTGTCCCTGATCTCACAGTTTCCCCTCCCATATCAGAATCACTTTCTCTGGATACGCACTTCCTAGCCTCGAATTCAAATTCCATCTGCTCCAGATACCACTGCCCTAACAGATACACACTCCGCATTCTCAGGATACAAGGATTCTCACACATTCTAACATTTAACTGCACACACTTCTTGATGCTCAACAGGATCTCGTCTGGTACAGCGCAGAAATTCCCACCAAAAAAGGCGAATGAGATTCAGGAGATCGACAGCCCAGAACCAAATGCCTTCTGGCTCTCAGCATTCTTCTTCCCACAAGGTAGGTTACCCAATGTCTGTACTGGTCCCTCACAGACCGAGTGCCTGTATCGGCCCCTCA